AAAAAATTTCAACCAAATACTGGCTTTAATAAGAGTTTTCTTCTAAAATAAAGCAGTTTGAGCTATTTTCAATCCAATTTTGCTCGATTTTAATTAGGATGTTAGAAAATAGAGTTGCAAGAGTTGGCCGCAAGGCTCCGCTTTGGGGCCCATCCTTTCAAAGATGTGCGTGAGAAGACAACAACCTCGCCGAAGGCAGTCACGGTCTATCCAGAACGTTCTTTGATCGCGTTTCACTTACAATAATTGCACACAATTAACCGAATTATTAAAGTAATTAAAATAAGCCAAAGTTGATTTTTCGACAATCGAGATTCAAATCTGTAATTTCAATAGAGATAATGGTTGATTTAATTTTACACCGAGTATAATCGAATTTGTTACGATTTACATCGACTACAATTAAGGCTGGAATGAGATGCAAAATGAGGAATTCTGTGCAATTAGGTCGTAATTAGAGGTAATTTGTGGATGGGGCACTTAGACTTGTGTGCTCGTTAAAATACAATTTTGTTTTTGTGAGGGGAAAACAGGATTAAATAAAGCTGCTAAAGGGAAAATCTCTTAACTCCCCGTTGCGATTTTTACAGTTTTTTTGGGAAAATTATTTGCAAAATTAAAATTTGAAACACGAATAAATTAGGCTTCAGAAACCTAAAAAGTACCTAACTCCTAAAGTTCTGAAAATTTGAGCTGAAAAATACATTAACTTGAATTTGGGACCCTGAAAACTTAAATATGCAAATGAAACAATCTGAAATACACAGTTAATAAATAAATTTATTTTCTTAACTAATTTGATGATTTTTTGTCTTATTTTGAGAACGTTTGGTAAAATAATTCAGTTTCTGGATAAAGAACTTAAAAAATCGAATTGTGTTCTTTGACAATTGCGCAAAAAAGTTCATTTTACTAAACGTTTTTTTTTTATTTCTGCAGCAGCTGCAGTTACCTTTCTAAAAAAATCATGAGGTGTTAAGATTTTTACAAATTTTTTTGCCAAATCACCAACTAGCATAAAAATCACCAGATCTGGTGAATTTCAACACTGTTGGCATACCGTTTCGAGTACAGTTCGAGTTAATTGAAATTCAATGGTCAAAGTGGGATTTTAAGGCGCGAATTACCGATTCTTGGTAAAAATAGCACGGGAAAAATTGTGTAAAATCGCTTTGATGTGGTACCGTTAGTGGCTGGGAACTGGATGGCAGAGGCAGACTAGCGTGTTTCTCTAAAACAAGCGTTTTTCAAGAAAATACACGTTTTGATGAAAAAAATCCAAACAAATTCGAATTTTTCGTAGAAATTTGGGGCAAAATTTTTAAATTCTTTGGCTAAATGTGGAAATGTGGTTTTTTCTTCAAATAACTAATTTTAATTTCAAATAGTTGGAATTGTAACCGTTTTCACCAATTCAGTAAATTATTGTATTTTATTATTCAAAAAATTACAAATCTGAAATATTTAAAACAAAAAATTTGAAAAAAAAGTGGAAAAAGCAGTCCGAGGTTGAAAAATTACCCATTT